GTCCTGCACGGAAACGCGGGTGGTTTATGGAAGCAGGAAGAGCCGGGCGCCCCGCGAGGCGCAGCGCTCGCGTGCTCAGAGCACCATCTCGTGGGAGCCGCTGCGGCTCTGCTCATTTCCTTGGCACACCGGTGCTTAACACCACTGACATGTTAACCTGGCGACCCAATGCAAACATCTGCGCAAGGCAGGACTGCTGAGAGGCCAAGAAAAAGCAGCAGTTTTGGTGCTGCTCTGTGAGTTTAATTTAAAGCACTGACGAAACCTGAAAGTTTGTTGCTGAAGAGTGTCTTGTGGTTTAAGGGATTTAACTGGCAGGATAAATCTCCCACGCGTTTTAGCAAGAACAGAACTGAGTTAGTTTGGCACATAACTAGATTAAATTAATACAGCATCTCTCCTACAACAGTTTTATACAAAGAAACTCAATAAGCTGCCCTTGAGGGAGCAAAATCCCTTTTAAATCCCTGTCGCAATGCAAGAGAGGTTTTCTAAGGCTACCTGGTGCGGCAAAGGAGCAGCAACACAAGCAGCACAGGCCAAGGCCCAAGGATCTCCAACCCGGTGCCGGGGAAGGAGCGATCCTCCCAAGGGCAGGGCGACCCTGCAGCCACGGGGGTGGAAGCGACAACCTCAGCCCTTCCACGGAAAAACCCCCAAACACACCCGTTATGTAGTCACCCGAGGCCAAGCAGCAGTCAACGTCCACCCCGTGGACCCGGGGAGGTCCCCACATCACAGACACCAGCGTCGCCACACGAGCGTGGTCTGGATTCCACTTCGCCAGCACTCCCCACAACACCGTCCTCCTTGCTGCGTCTCACCGTGAGGATGGAGAGCTGCATCTTCCTCGCCTTCACTCCACGTGTGGGGACTTTGGCTGGGGACACAATGCTCGCCATGGATAAATGTCATACTGTAAAATGCCCTCCCTAAAACCAACTTTAAAGACAGGCACCTGAGGAAAACACTGTTGGTTTAAGGTCTTCTGCAGGCATTGCACAACTACAGACCCTTCGCGCTCCTTCTCATCTAGCAGCCCATAAATGCAAAAGTAGGAATTCAAACTGAAGGATTTCTCCCTCCTCCTTCCCTGCCACCAACAGACATTAGGTTGTTCAGGTCCTAACACAGCTTCTTCCAGGCTTTCCTTTCAGAGCAAGGGCGACAAGATGACAAAGATGATTTAAAATACATGGCAATAAATGCAGAATGTGTGTTGGTCTTACTAAGCCACACTGAGCTTGGAGAGGAGTTACTGCAGTGCTTGACACATGATTTAGAGAAAGCAATCCTGCAAGTCAAACATAAAGAATTACCCCTTTTAGAAACGGGAAAGTAACTTTTTCACTCAAATACTGATTAATTTACGCCTGCTTTCCAGTTGCAAAGTATTTACTCAAATCCAGCTGCACAATTTAAACAGCATCCAGTTGTCTGAGGGAGAGAAGGGCACAAATGCAACACTGACCAGAACTACAGCATGAGGGAAGGGTTTTGTCTCACAGGGCTTCCTAACCAAGCTCAGGAGAGCAGCATTTCCAGCCCGTTCCCAAAGCTTCCCTGCATTCCCAACACGGCTCATTGCGTTCGGTTTTGAGGGGATGAGGCCAGCACCCCATGGGTGCACCCTTCCAACCACCCAAAGATAGCCTGGAGATTTCAATAGAGAGATCTCTTAGGGTCTGGGCAGGTTTACCTACCTTTCTTTCATTAAAACCTTTGAAATGGTAAAGCATTATGGCTTTTATTTGAACACAAGCAACTTTTTTTCACCTCTTCCCTCTGGTTGCAGAGGCTTCCTGTAAAACAGGACTACCCAAGTCCCCTTTGACAGTTATTCAAACAGCATTAAAGACAGTAACAATCTTCCTTTGGAGGAGCAAAATAAAAATAAAAAAAAGATACTTTGAACTGGAAACTTAGGTTCTGCCTGGCTGAAACCCACCTCTTTTGAGGCCAGAAGAGGAGCAGGCGGAAGAGGCAGATCCAACCCCTTTTAAGGAAAACGGCAAGTACTGTAATATTTGTAGCAAAGCAAGAGGAGCTTGCAGCATGGAAGGAATGCCTGAGGTCTCCCTCCACTCTCACCTCAGTTCAGTAAAGTTCTAGACAAATTATGGATTACAGAAAATTTGGCCAACCCTGAGACCAAGCAAGGAGGCATAACATAGGAAGATTCATGATCTTCATTTTTGAATTACTCTGGAAACAATTATGGCCACTCAATAAGCCACTGCATTTGCCTACTATCCTTTCATCAAAGCCTCCATTTGCTCCAAAGCTGGTTTATGTGTTTCAAAAGTCAGACAGCCTCCCTTCGGGGACTCCATTGTATCAGACATTTTGTTGCCCTGCCAGAAATAACCAAAGCCTCCATGAGCTAAAGGGTTATTACTGGCATGGAATTTCCTTTGTTCCAATTACGGAATCTCATTTTTCTCTCTTGCTTCCAATTGTGCTTTCATTGTTTATGATTTGTATGATTAAAATAAACCACAGCATGTCAGCAAAGGAAAGAATCTGGCAAGGTGCTAAAAATATATTAATTTGGAATTGGTAAAAAGGGAATGAGAGTCAGGCGGATGATTTAGATTAACATACAAGTTCATCCTGAGCAGTTTGGAAGCAGCAGGGTCTAGCAGGAACACTTAATGTACTTGCAGAATTTTCAGTGGGCAGATGCAGCTGGCGTTCTGTTCAGAAGAGCTTTGCAGGAATATACCCATGTAAGCAGATTATTAAACTCTGAGAATCTAGATTTTAATAAGCTTTTAGTATTAAAAGTTGCAAAATCCTGATGCTATATATAAGCATATATAAGTCTGCACAGGAGAGCCCATGGCAGGACCACACTGAGACCATTCACTGCATCGGGAAGGAGCACGGGGAAACTGAGGCTGAAAATCCCGGCTGGCTGCAGCCCCTCGGAGGTCTGTGCGTCCGTGCCGTGCTCGTCAGGATAGAGGGGGTCAAGGGCAAGCAGGAAACCGGGAACAGCTCGGAATGGGAAGCGAGCGCCAGCGGAGCGGCACCGAGCACGTCCCGGAGCTCCCTGTCTGCTGATTGCAGGGCCCTGGGGCAAACAGGGTAAATACTGAGGGAGAAAAACACAGAACGAGGAGCAGAGGGTGCCAAAAGCAGCGCTTGCGTCAAACAGCAGGATATATTGTCATTATTATCTAGGCACCTGAATGCATTGGCACAGCAATGCGAAGTTGCTATTCCAGGCTTGATTAAACGTATTATGGGAAAAGGACTTTGAATAACCAGCGAACTTTGCCATGATAGAGCATGCAGGAAATGGATAAACCAGCTGGGCTTCCCTAACTTAATTACACTCGGGTAAAATAGCCACAAGCTCCACGAAGAGGCCACCGAAGCAGAGCCACCCCCACGCAGACCTGCCTTGTCTCTATGGGTTAAGAATCAACCCTCGCTTCAAGTGATGGGACTTGTTTCCAGCAGCAGCACAGATGCAGCAACGTTTCTGCTGGTGGAGGCTGCATGGAGCAGGTTAAGTGTCCTGCTCTGAGCAAGCAGAAAGTGCATCTGACTTGCAAAAGCCCGTATCCGACGGTGCAACAGGGAAACATTAAGATATAAAGTCATTTTTACATGCATATTACCTAGAAAATCACACTCTACTATCAGTTTTCTCTGACAGTAATTATACATGATGGGCAACTATCAGGTCAATAATGTGGACTTAACACCGGAGATTCAAAAACTACCAAATTTCTTGTTAAAGGTGCAAAACTGCAGCCTGAATGCCTGGCAAGTGCATGTCATTGGCAGCCTGGGCCAGTTGCAGCACTGCAGAAACCCTTGTGCACAGACTGCTCGTCCTCACGGCAGCCTCAAAGAGCCCTGTGCCCTGTGCTTGCCTCCCTCCTGGGGAAAAGACTAAATAAACTGCCCGTTTGGGGGTACTTGTTACCTTAAAAGCACCTGATTTTCAGCAATCTTCAGCAAACTCTCTGAAGGGGATCCCACACTGGGAAATCCAAATACCTAAGGCAGCCAAATCCTTTTTGACTCCTTCAGTCCTATATCAAGCAATGCAATTAGATTAGAGCAGATTTTTACAGTGTATTTGTTTGGTTTCCAAGTCTGAGGCCGGACAGAGGTGCTCAGCAAGCACTCGAGCAAGGGAGAATCAAAGCAAAACCTATCGCCATCTCCTATATAGCCACACACAATTGGTACTGCTGCTTTGCAGCCCCATATCTGCTCACAGGTCTGAGCCAAACTGCGCAAGAAAGCAAAGGGTTTTTCTAAGGAGAAAGATGAGGGAAAAAAAAAAAGCCTATCATCTAAAACCAGAGTTAACGCACAAATATAAGCAGGGTCCTCCCCTGCAAAGCCACAGTGTTCGTGGCACTATTTTAAATGTTTTATAGTGATAAACAAACAAAACCCCCACAATTCATTATTTGTTTTCTTTCAATTCTACTTCTCACTAGGCATGGAAATGCAAGATTTTCCAGAAATGGTACAGGCAGAAGACACATTTTTCCTCAGGCAAAGTAAGTATATTTTCTTAAGCGTGCCATCTTAGATGCTTGAGTACTTTTCTAAAATACAGCTCAATGCTATTCCTTGGTTCCTTCAGCATTTCAGATCAGCATTGCAAGCGCAGGTTAATTATCACCTAAGGCTACTGGTCAAGAAGCCATAACTATTACCTCAATGTTTCATCACTTCTTGATTTTATTCCTATTTCTTCTCTTACAGAAACTATTTAATAGCAAAGGATGCTTTGCAAAGCAGCGTTATTAGACGAGACTTGAGCAGGGGAGCAGCGTGCTGGGCAGGAACCAGGGAGGGGAAGGAGGAGAGTTGGGATTCACCTGTCCACGATCTCCTGCCCGTCCCAGCAGCGGCTGTCGTTCCTCACGGCGGAGCTGTGGCTGCACACGTACTCTGGCAAGCTGCTGTAGAACCCGCTGTGGGACTTCAGCTTCGCGATGAGCTCCCTGCAGGAAAGGGGAAAGAAGGTTCTCAGTGACAAGAGAAGATGACGGCGGCGTCGTGCGTTTTACCCAAACAGCAGCCTGATGCTGCCCGTGCCAAGACGACAGCACGAGGCCCTGGTCCTCCCCACCCAGCTCCATCCCAGTACGGGCAAGGGACACCCGTCCCAGCGGGGGCACGCAGCAGGTTTATAGGTAAAAGGTGCTAAAAGCAGCAGGAGATGAATAGCAGGGACCAGAGGAAGCAGCGTTTGGCTTCAGTACAGCACATTTACCCTGTCGGCAGCAGGTTTCTCCTTAGCCTCCTTCCTGGCCAGGACCGTCACCTCCAGTGGGGAAGGGTCCCAAGGGTGGGATGTGGCACTGCCTCCGTGTCCTCTCTGCCCTGTGAGGGGAGCGGGCAAGCAGCGGCACCGCGAGGTGGCCAAGCTTAGACTGAAGAGCCCTCGAGCAGCTTCGAGGCCAGGCCAGCCCCGAGCCGCCAGCTGGGGGCAGCCAAAGCCAGGAGAAGGCGCCTGGCGCCGGCAAAGCCGCCCGCGCTCTTCAGCTCCAGGTTCTTCCTCTGCTCAGCCCTGGTGAGGCCACATCTGCAGTATTGTGTCCAGTTCTGGAGGATTGTGTCCAGTTCTGGGCTCCACAGGACAAGAGGGATGTG